CTTTATCTAGTTAACATTCCATTTAATTTACATATATTGGAATGAATTAAGTCTAAAAATTTAAATTTCCTTTCAACACTACGAAAATGTTTCTTAATCATTGTAGACTTAACACATAATTCACATTTATTTTATTCTATGTTTTTACAAGGAATCATTCCGATTTTAATCATTCTTTTTAAAGTAGAAAAATTAACATATCCTAATCTATCATGCCATAAAGAAATAGACTCAACAACATAATTTAAATTTGTAGTTTTATTAATATTATTGTCAATAGTACAAAATTTGACCATTCCATCACTAGAATAGCCATGTGCCCATGTCCAACAAATACTTCATTTCGGAAAAATATAAGTTGGCCCAATTCATATGTGGACTTTATTCTCGATTTTCCCAACAAATCACCACGTACAAGATTTCTATTCACATTCGGTGTATGCAATACATTTATTAATGTGATCTTCTTGCCGGATGTAAATTGTAAGCTTAGCTTCCTTTGCCAACAACTTTTGATTGAACTTCATCCACTTCTTGATAGATTTTGAAAAGGATTCTATCATAGCACACATGTATGGTGGCACAAGTTTCATATCACTATCCTTGAACCTTTCCTTTGACCAAATTCACAATGCTCACAGTAGCAATGATGTTGTCAATGGAGTTTACTTTGCCTTCTTGCGTTGATTGTTTGCGATATCTACAATTTCGAGAATAACGTCCGAGTGTGCCACACACATAACAAGAAACTTTGAATTTCTTCTTTTTCTTGTTATCTTTGTTGGGGTTTGTGAATTTCCTCTTCTTGGAATCCTTATTGTATTTATTTGGTTTATCTACGACATGAGGTTTGGAAGTACCCTCATGAGAATATTCATTCACATCTCGTGCCCTTAACTCTTCCTCAATCCGAAAATATTTTTGAATTTCTTCCAAAGAATAATCCTGAGATCTGTGAAGAATTTTCTTCCTATAACTCTTCCATGAAAATGGCAATTTTGCAATTATTGCTCCAACTTGAAAGGTTTCGGGAAGATCAATCTTTACAGGCTTCATTTTATTGACAATGATTTGCATCTCTTGGACTTGTTTTAACAAAGGCAAGTTATCCAAAAATTTGAAATCAAAATACTTAGAAATGCCAAGTCCGAACCCAAAAATGTAGAAGATCTTCAAGGTTGTAAGAAGAAACTTCAATTTGTCCTTCTATCTTGTAAAGTTCAAACAACCGAATATATCAAGCCTCACAAGATCTTGATTCATCATCTTTATCATAGTCATGGTTGTCTCGTTCTCCATGTTGAATATCGTTTGAGATATTTGAAAAAAGTTGATAAAGAACATGAAAATAAAACCAGCAACAAGGAAATGCCAAAATGGAAGGTTTGAACACGATTATGAATAGTTGTTCTCAAACGATATTTGCCGCCACCGGGGTAAGTGCTTGAAGGCTTCAATGGCAAATAGTTTGGAGGAGTAAATAAACATTAATCTAAGTTTGAATTAAGCAAACAAAACTTGGAAAATGAATTTTGAAGAATAGTATAAAAAAAACTAGGTTTGATATTTGATTTTGGATGTTGATGAATGAATTTAATGTTTGTGATATGTTTTCAATACCATACACGAAAAGATGCAAAAAACAAGCCAAAATGGTGTAAAGCCCTTTAAAACGACATTAAAATTCAAAACTCCAACTGACAAAATTTTTGTACTGGACGAAACCGGGCACCCACCCAGTTTAACAAAATGGCCACTATATTTGCTACACAAGGCCAGGTCTTCCTGGACTTGGCCGCGTAGGCCATTTTTCGGCCTTCACTATTTTTTATTCTCGTTTTGTTTTCACTTGTTTTTCTTATGGTTAATCACTTACATCATTTCCAAAATCACTCATCATTGTGAATTTAAACAATGTCCAACATTTGATATCTAGTGGTGGCAACAGAGTCGAGTGGCTCATCGACTCGACCGCTAGGCTCGTCAAAAATGAGCCACGAGCTGCTCGGGCTCGTCAAAAAGATTAGCCCGAGCACGAGCCAAGCAGGCGGCTCGTGGGCTCGGTTCGCCCATGGGTAAGCGGCTCGTGGGCTAGCCAACGATCTCGCCCACTAGTCGGCTCGTCCAAAATTGAAGGGTTATTTTTTTTTTTTTTTTCAGAAAAAAGGTATATCTTTAAAAAAAATTTAACTAGCCGCGAGCCTACCCACGAGCTCACGTGCCGAGCTGGTGAGTAACGAGCCACGAGCTCGGCTCGTTTTTATCCTTTTCAATGTTGAAACAAATTTATAGTTGTGATCATCTTCAAATGCTTTAACTATCCAATAGCCACCTTCAATATCATTTGAGATTCGCATGTTAGCTTTACATCCACCTCTAACCGTTGAACAACTTTTTCTTTTTGTAGAACTCTCTTTCTGACAGCTCTCTATTTCACTTGAACCTTCAACAATTTTCCTACTATTATATTTTCCTTCATGTGAGCACACAAATTTAACAAGGGTAACTTCATTTATACGTGGGCGTAACTTAACTGTTGTTCGAGTACGAATCCAAAGACCATTTTGTCATCCAAAATCTTCATAGTATGCCCTTGCTTCCTCCGCTGTCTTAAATTTCATCCCAACGTAAGGTGCTTTGCCTTGTATTGATGATGACCCAATCTCATCAGATTGAGAGACATGTATACAATTGCCACAATTGGATGCATCCATCTACAAAACAAATTTGAAAGAATCGGTCAATGATACTGATTGCATAGAACTACCAATAATTTGAATAGTAGAGGAAAATCAGATTCAAGAACATGATATAATGCAATTTTAAAACCAAGCAGAAGGATCGAAATAGCAAAAATTGAAAACTCGTGTGAGATTTCTGCTGAAAAGCAGTTGTATGCGATATAATCATACCTGAAAAAATCAATTTAGATCCTATTATTCTCTCCTAAATAAATAAATTGATATCATAGTGGGACTCCTCCTAAAATTTAAACATGGACAAAGGAATTATTTCAGGGCAGTGATGATTTGGAGATTCTTGCTCGCCGGAGAGATGATGAATTTGGGTGGTGATTGAGAATGGAATAAGATGATAAATGATAGAAAATCACAGTGTTGTTGAGAGATTTTAGGGATTAATATAAAGTAATTAAGGGTGTTTGGAAGTAAGTTTAAGAATTATATGGTATTTTAATTGATAAATGTTGAGTGTTTGATTGAATTAAATTAAACGTTACGATTATTTATGAAAAATACTTGTCAAATTAATGGATAGGAGGAACGGTCCCGTGTATATATAGCTACAATAATATGGTGAGATAGAAGTAAAGTGTATGATTGATTTGATTAACCAAATTATTGTAGCAGCGAGATAAAGTTATCATTCTATACATGCGACATCGTGAATTTGTAACTCCGTCCAGTTCTCCAAGAAAAAAAAACCAATTGAGTCAACTTTCCCTTTTACACCATAATTTTTATTTAGTCCACCACGCTGACAATCCACGACAATTAAAACACATTTGTAACATATACACCACCATTATTGTGAGATTCCCCCTATTTGATTTAGTTAAAAATTAGATTTTTAGTAAATTTTGATAAAATTAATTAATGAAATGTGTGGTTAAAAATTGATAAAAAGTGTGGGTTCTATGAAATTTGTGGCTGTAATTGAAGTTTGACCAATTGAAAAATTAATAAATTTTTTTTATCGAACAAGCACTAAAAGTAATTACTTTGCGGGTAAATTTTATTTTCAAACAAGTTCGAATAAATTATGTATCATGTTGCTTTGGGTCAAGTGAGTTATTGCACTTATTTGTATTTTCTATTTCTATAATGAGAGTAGTACACCTAATTTTAGTTTTTTTTTTAATATTTCATTATTATGGGAGTAGTACTTTCAATTTTAATTTTACCAAAATCATTCTTTCTTCCATTTTTATTTCTTGTAATAATTTTTTACTTAATCTCCGAATTAGGGTTAATTGGCAACCCCTACCTAGACATCATGTGGAATTTTGTTTAAATTTTTTTCAAATAAACTATATTTGTGTACCTCTTATTATAGTAGGTTCTTGGGGATGCATTTGCAAGAAGGAAAAATGAAATCATATTTTGTGATTTGAATACTATTTTTTTTTTCTTTATTCTTGATTTTTTTAATATGTTGGTTCTTTGCCCCTAGTTTTGGTGTAGAAGCTATATTTTCGGATATTAGATTTACCATCTTAATTCTTGTCAAAACAATTTATAAATCACAAGCTAAACGAATGAAATCAAAGGACATTACTTGAATGCGATTGCAAGTTCATGTGAAGAAATCATAAAAATTGTGTCTCATGTCGAATTTCATAAGTACTCCCTCATCTGACGCTACTGCATAGGAAACTATAATTGAAATCCTTTACATAGCATTAAATTTGAAATACGTGCATCTAAAGCACATTTTATCAAGGTATGCGAGATCCTAAGTAGTGTCGAGCCACGAGTTTTATATTTGTGAATTTCTTCTAGTTTTCACCAATGCTTTAGCCCTAATTCGATTTAGCTAAAAGTCGGATTTTTAATAGATGTCGATAGAAGTTGATTAAAGTACTTTTGAAAAATTGATAAAAGTTGTAGATCTCATCAAATGTGTGATTGAAAAAAGGGTTTAAAAAATGAGAATCAAATAGGAACTTAATTAACTGATTATATATTTAATGTCGTAATGAGAGTTATCGATCTTTAAATAAATAAATAAAATGGTTAATTAGTTTGACAACGAAATAACTTTCCTTTGAAATAATTAATTTACTTTTAACTTCTACCGACAAAAACATATTCACTTATAAGTACATTTTTTGGCTTATCCAAGCATGCACCACCTCCAACCACCCATTTCTTTTTCCTAAAGACATTCATCATTTTCTTTAAAACATTCTTGAAACCTATACTAAATTCACTGTACACAACCTTTGCTGCCATTTAGGTTCTCTTGTTAGAATCAAGAAAATGAGTAATGATGAACTGATTTTGTTAAATTACTGGCCAAGCTTGTTTGGAGCCAGGGTTAGAATTGCACTGGAGGAGAAGGGACTCAAATACGAGTACAGAGAAGAGGATTTGCCAAACAAATCTCCTCTGCTGCTCGAAATGAACCCGGTTTACAAGAAAATTCCGGTTTTGATTCACAACGGGAAACCAATTTGTGAATCGAATATTATAGCTCAATACATTGATGAGGTTTGGAATGATAGAGCTCCACTTCTGCCCTCTGATCCTTATGAAAAAGCTCAAGCTAGGTTTTGGGCTAGTTACAGTGACAAGGTGAGTAATCTCTCCCACCGTTACTAAGGATTTTTTTATTATTATTATTTTCTCTTTTCTGGGCAGCTTAAAAATCTTTGCTATTTAAACCATATTTGGTCTTCCTAGAACTTTATCAAGTCGCAACCATTATTTTTAAACTCTTTTTTCTTCGTACTCATTTACCATCACACTTTGACTGAATAAAATATTTTTTATGTAAACTTAAAATTTTTTCCCACTTTTTAACCACACATTCTCCTAAAAATCAATTCAAAACTCTATTTTCCTGAAATAATGATCGTCGACACGGGGGCTGAAGCTGAGTTGTGTAATAACTTGTTATTGTTAGCCTTGGCCTACCTCGGATTGGGGTCGGAAAAAAATGTTCCACCTCGCATTTAGGTAGGAAAATAAACAATTAACTCTACATTGACCGGTGAAGAAGTGTATGAGGAAAAAGGCGTACCACTAAATGTTACAAATGCGTACGCCTTTTTTCTTTTACAAATGGTATTTTCTTATTTTAAAGGTTAGCTCAATAAAATGTTTTAACCATAGCTTTGAATTATTAATTTGGGGTGTTTATTTAGAATATAGAATATTTGTTATTTATAGAATCCATCATACAAACATGTTTGTTATTTATAGAATATGTGGTTTTCTATAATAACTAATATACCGATTTCTCGATTTTCTAGATAGATATTAATTGACTCTTTAAAACTTTCTAAAGAACATAAAGCAAAGTATAATCATCTAATGGCATAAAACATACGAATTTAAAAACAATATGTTTGCAATGGCCTAGAGTAATTTACCGTTCAACAAATTAATTTATTCAAATACTTTTTTTTAACTCTCTCTCAACTTTTTTCTTGACCTTCTAAAAATGTTTAAAATTGTGACCAAAAAATTCTTTCATCATATTTAAATGGTTTGATGAAACTCACTTAATAAGTAAAATAGTTGACTTAACTCATGTGATTACTTTATCTTTTCAGCCATGAAATCTAGAATAGAAGGCTAAAAGCGTTGGGATTATATATCAAAATAAAATATATTTTTTAAATAAATTAATTGCTCATTTGGTGTTTCCTCGTTTAGGCCTTGCCCGAAAAATAAATAAAGTAAACAAAAATTATAAACAATAGAAAGTATGAAAATGACTTACTTTATTTTTGAAATCTTTGAATCTACAAGGATTGAATTTAGTGGGATGTCTTTGAATTTTTTAGGGCAAACATTATAGTGTGCTAAGCTGCTTTTTTTCTCGATTTGTTCTTTCTATAATTGGTGTTGGAATTTATAAACGTCGGTACATCACGCCTATCCTTTCTATACAATTCAACTTTACTGGTGTGTAATTTACAATTGAAGAAAAAGTAATTAGTACTATACAATTTTACAAGTGTATGACATATAATTAAAGAATTAAATGTTTCTTTACAACTATGAGAATCTTTTTGAAATTTTTGTCTTCTTAACTCTTAACTTTTTGACTTTCTTAACTTGATAATTGTCCTTTGAACATTATTCATCTGTCTTTTGCTTTTCTTTTACATCTTTTTTCCTTTAATTGCATATCTATCCATTATATCTATATAGCCTTTTTCTAAGTCTGAATTCATTTCATTAGTTTGGCCATCTGATATGCATTCTTCTTCTTCTGATTGTCTTTCTATTGATTCATCATTTGTTTCTTGGAAGGTCATCAGATATAGTTCTTTTTGTTCAATATTTGGTGTTGAAATTTTTTCTGTTCTAACCTTTAAAGCAAAAAATAACAGAAAATAACTTCATTGTTCCATTGAGTTACGAGTCTCGAATTATTGTTTTGAACTTCCATCATTGCCACGGTCTTTGAGATTCGTCTTTCGTAGTTAATCTGTCTAATTTTTAATTTTGTACTGGTTTTAGAGGAAGGTTGAAATCTCTTGGCTCCTCAAAATATGGTGATAAACTGGAATTATTATACCATTATTTACAAGAGGTGTCTAGAAATGAATTGAATCATCAAATGGTGATCTTTTAACTGACTAAGAATCTATTTAAGTTTAGGTGGAAAAATCTGAAGAATCTGTTTAGAATGTATATGGTGTCTATCATGCCGAACTTTAATGTTGGATAAAAAAAGTCTTCTTCTTCAAAGATTGTATAGCCGAAAGAGATTGTAGGATAATTATGTCTAAGAAAGGCTGAGTTGGTGGCTGATTCATATTTGAGGCCATATTTAAGAAATTATCGATTTTTATTGTGATAATAATTTAGAATTTGAGAGAAATCGATAATTTCTTGTACTCCTGATTCATTTATAGCATTTTGAACAATACTGGCACAATCGTCAATTTTCTGTTCTAATTCATATAAAGTCTTTTCTTGCCCTGCGTTGTAGAATCTGTTTATTCAATAAGTCTTTCTATTTTATCAGAATAATTTGTACTTGTAGATGCAATATCTTTAGAGATTTGTCTTTCAACAATATCTTCAGAACTTCATCTTTTTAAATTATCATGTAACTGGAGAATCTCATGTTGATATTTACAAATAGTTTGTTATGGGAATTAATAAAAGATGAATTTGTTATAGGAATAAAATTTTTACTAAGTATAAATGAAAGTTTAACAATCACCCCTTAATGTTATAATTTTTGGAAAAGACACTTCTATCATTAATCATATAGACTCGTCAGACTTACGAGTGAAGCGTGGTGGACCCTTACATTCACAAATAAAACCAGAAGATGAAAATTTAGATAATCTATAGATATTGGAATGTTTAAAGTATTTATCTTTAGATACCTTAAAAACTGATTTCATACCAAGAACCAAATAATTAATAATTTTCAATAAAACTTCATCTAAGGTAAATAGTATAGATATAATTTTATAATTAGCTGAAAAATACAGATATAATAGGAAAAGACCCAATGTTATAATATGCTATGCTGCTATTTTTCTCGGTTTGTTCTTTCTATAAGTGGTGTTGGCATTTATAGACGCTAGTACATCACGTCTATCCTTTCTATACATTCAACTTTACAGGTGTGTGATTTACAATTGAAGAAAAAGTAACTAGTATTGTACAACTGTACAAGTGTATGACATATAATTAAAGAATTAAATGTTTCTTTATAGCTGCGAGAATCTTTTTGAATTTTTTGTCTTTTTAAAACTTTTTGACTTTCTTGACTTGATAATTGTCATTTGAACATTATTCATCTGTCTTTTGCTTTTCCTTTATGTATTTTCTCCTTTAATTGCCTCGATATCTATTATCTCTATGTAGGCTTCTTCTAGGTCTGCATCCATTTAATTAGTTTGGCCATCTGATATGTATTCTTCTTCTTCTTCTGTATCTGATTGTCTTTCTGTTAATTCATCATTTGTTTCTTGAAAGGTTATCAGATATAGCTCATTTTCTTCAATATTTGGTGCTGAAATTTTTTCTGTTATAACCTTTAAAGCAAGATGCTCTGACAGAAAATAACTCCGTTGTTCTATTGAGCTACAAGTCTGGAATTATTGTTTTGAACTTCCATCATTGCCATGGTCTTTGAGATCCCTCTTTCGTAGTCAATTTGTTTAATTTTTATTTTTGTATTGATTTTAGAGGAAGGTCGAAATCTTTTGGGTCCTTAAAATATGGCCCCAAATATGAATTAGCCACTAACTCCGCCTTTTTTTAGACATAATTATCATACAATATCTTTTGGCTATACAATTTTTGAAGAAGAAGACCTTTTTGATCCAACCTTAAAGTTCGGTATAATAGACATCATATACATTCTAAACAGATTCTTCAAATTTTTTCAACCTAAAGTTAAACAAATTCTTAGTCAGTTAAAAGATCACCATCTGATGATTCAATTCATTTCTAGACCACCTTTTGTAAATAACGGTATAATAATTCCAACTTATCACCATATTTTAAGGAGCCAAAAGATTACGACCTTCCTCTAAAACCAATACAAAATTAAAAATTAGACAGATTGACTACGAAAGACGAATCTCAAAGACCGTGACAATGATGGAAGTTCAAAACAATAATTTCAAAATTGTAGCTCAATGGAACAATGGAGTTATTTTCTATCAAGAGCATCTTGCTTTAAAGGTTAAAACTAAAAAAATTTCAGCACCAAATTTTGAACAAAAAGAGTTATATCTAATGACCTTCCAAGAAACAAATGATGAATCAACAGAAAGACAATCAGACACCGAAGAAGAATACATATCAGATGGCCAAACTAATGAAATGGATGCAAACCTAGAAGAAGCCTACATAGAGATAATGGATAGAGAGGCAATTAAAGGAGAAACGGTGTAAAAGAAAAGCAAAAGACGGATGAATAATGTTCAAAGGACAATTATCAAGCCAAGAAAGTCAAAACGTTGGAGCTAAGAAGACAAACATTTCAAAAAGATTCTCACAACTGTAAAGAAACAATTAATTATTTAATTATATGCCATACACTTGTAAAGTTGTACAGTACTTCAATTGTAAATCACACACCTGTAAAGTTGAATAGTATAGAAAGGATAGACGTGATGTACCAACTTCTATAAATGCCAACACCACTTACAAAAAGAACAAACCGAGAAAAATAGTAATATAGCACACTATAACATTAGGCTTTTTCCTATTATATCTGTATTTTTCAACTAATTATAAAATTCTATTTATACTATCTACATTAGATGATGTTTTATTGAAAGTTATTAATTATTTGGTTTTTGGTATGAAATCATTTTTAAGGTATCTAAAGATAAATACTTTAAACATTCCAATCTTTCTAGATTATCTAAATTTTCATCTTCTGCATCTGTTTGTGAATGTAAGGGTCCACCACGCCTCGCGCGTAACTCTGATGATCTATAGTATTAATGATAGAAATGTTTTTTCCAAAAATTATAACATCAATGGGTGATTGTTAAACTTCCATTTCTACTTAGTAAGAATTTTATTCCTATAATAAATTCATCTTTTATTTATTCCTATAACAAACCATTAGTAAATTTCAACATGAAATTCTCCAGTTACATGATAGTTTAAAAAGATTAAGTTCTAAAGATGTTGTTGAAAGACATATCTCTAAAGATATTGCGTCTAAGAGTTCAAATTATTCTAATAAAATAGAAAGACTTATTGAATTAACAGATTCTACAGCTGCATGACAAGAAAAGACTTTATATGAATTAGAACAGAAAATTGGCGATTGTGCCAGTATTGTCTGAAGTGCTATAAAGGAATCAGTAGTACAAGAAATTATCGATTACTCTCAACTTTAAACTATTATCACAATGAAAATCAATACTTTCTTAAACATGATCCAAAATATGAATCAGCTACTAACTCAGTCTTTCTTAGACATAATTATCCTACAATCTCTTTCGGCTATACAATTAGTGAAGAAGAAGACATTTTTTATCCAACCTTAAAGTCGACATGATAGACACCATATACATTCTAAACAGGTTCTTCAGATTTTTTTCTACCTGAACTTAAAAAAATTCTTAGTCAGTTAAAAGATCACTCTATGATGATTCAATACATTTCTACATCACCTCTTGTAAATAATTGTATAATAATTCCAGCTTATCACCATATTTTAAGGAGCCAAAGATTTAGACCTTCCTCTAAAATCAATACAAAAATAAAAATTAGACAAATTGACTACGAAAGAGGAATTTCAAAGACCGTGGCAATGATGGAAGTTCAAAACAATAATTCCAAACTTGTAGCTCAATGGAACAATGAAGTTTTTTTTTCTGTCAAGAGTATCTTGCTTTAAAGGTTAGAAGAGACAAAATTTTAGCACCAAACATTGAACAAAATGAGCTATATCTGATGACCTTCCAATAAACAAATGATGAATCAACAGAAAGACAATTAGATACAGAAGAAGAATACATAATGAAATGGATGCAGACCTAGAAGAAGCCTACATAGAGATAATGGATGGATGCAATTAAAGAAGAAAAGACGTAAAGGAAAAGACAGATGAATAATGTTTAAAGGACAATTATCAAGCCAAGAAAGTCAAAAAGTTGGAGTTAGGAAGATAAAAATTTCAAAAAGATTCTCACAGTTGTAAAGAAACATTTAATTCTTTAATTATATGCAATACACTTGTAAAGTTGCAAAGTACTTCACTTGTAAATCACACACCTATAAAGTTAAATAGTATAAAAATGATAGACGTGATGTACCAGAGTCTATAAATGCCAACACCACTTACAGAAAGAACATACCGAGAAAAATAGTAGCATAGCACACTATAACATTTGCACTCAAAGATTCAAAGACATCCTTATAAATTCAATCCTTGTAGATTAAAAGATTTTAGAAATAAATTAAGTCATTTTCCTACTTTCTATTGTTTATAATTTATGTTTACTTTATTTATTTTTCGAGTAAGGCCTAAAAGAGAAAACACCATGTGAGCAATTAATTTATTCAAAAAATATAGTTTATTTTGATATATAATCCTAACGCTCTTAGCCTCTTTATTCTAGATTCCAAGGCCATAAAGATAAAGTAATCCTCTGAGTTAAGTCAACTATTTTACAATTTAAGTGAGTTTGATCAAACCTTTTAAATATGATGAAAATCCTTTTTGGTTACAATCTTAAACATTTTTAGAAGGTCAAGAAAAAAGTTGAGAGAGAGTTAAAAAAAAGTATTTGAAGAAATTAATTTGATGAACGGTAAAGTACTCTAAGGCCATTACAAACATATTATTTTTAATTTCCTATATTTTATGCCATTAGACGATTATACTTTGTTGTATTGTTCTTTAGAATATTTTAAAGAGTCTATTAATATCTATCTAGAAAATCGAGAAATCTGTAGATTAGTTATTATAGAATGCCACATATTATCTGCATTAAATAGAAATAGCGGTGACTCATCTTTATAGTTCAAGTAGCAAATCACTAAGCTTTCTGCCGCTCACTGTCGGAGTTTTTTGATAAAAGATCCTCAAGATTATAAGGACAGACAAAAAAATCATATAAGAGAAAATAATAGCAAGAGTCATAAAATTGGTAATTGTAAATAGGAAAATATTTAATTACATTCGTAAGGCTTGATACTCGACTTCAACAACTCATGCATTTTAAGAACGTTGGTTAAAAGAGATTAATGTATGAGTGGTTTAGAATATTTTGATAATATAGTCTTCCACACTCTCTCTTGCTACATTGGGAAGTGAAAGGTACAATACTCGCTAGCTCCAAACAAAATTAATTGCTCTTATGAATTTTAGTGTGTTCAGACTTATGTTGTATTGATAATTCTTTAGACAAAAGGATTATTATAAAATAGTTGTAAAAGTTAAAAGAGTTTTTTGGGGTGTTGTATAGTTGAACTAGGAGTCTTTGGGTTCGAGTATGGAATATGAAGAAAGGGGAGCCGGATTTACTTTAGCCTATCGCCTAGCTGATGTTTGAGCGAAAAAAAAATAGAATCATTGTCGCTCGCCTGGCGCTCGAGAGACAGTGTTTTTCGAGAAACCCTAGTTCGCGATTTTTAAGAGTTTTATCTATCATATACTATCTAAATACTTCATAGTATAAATACCCAATGCTCATTAAGTTTTTGCATGTGGTTAATCATTATAATACATAATCATAATATCATTCCGAGATCCAATAACATATCCAAACATTGAGATTAAACATTTGATTTTTGAGATCAGTTAACCACGAGCTCGCCCACTGGCTCGTGGACTCGTCCAAGGCGAAAGGGGTTTTTTTTTAAAATAGGTTTATCTTAAAAAAAAAAAAAATTGACGAGCTCACGAGCCAAAATTCAGCTCATCCTACGAGCCACGAGCTCACGGGCCGAGCTCGAGTAACAAGCCGAGCAGAAGCTCGACTCGGCCTACCTTTAAGCCAACTATTGACCTCCACTTAATGAATCTCCCAACATGAGAACAAGCTATAACTTTTATTATATTAAACCACCTGTAACTTGTTTTGTTATGCAGCACGAGAACCTGAAACCAGCTCGCCCTGGCCAACAAGATGGACCATAGCTATTGGTATAATCACAGGACTCTGCTATCACACCAAAGAATATATTGGAAGTGACAAAATTCGAAAAAGTGACAAGAAAAGTAACAAAAATAAAAAAAAATGTGACAAAAAGTGATAAAAATTCAAAAAGTAATAAAACTCAAAAAGTGGCAAATACTATTTAAACAACATTATTTGTATGTCTCGTATAAAATGACTTCAAATGACTTTACTCAACCGTTGAGACATGAAATATACAATTTGTTTGAGCTACGCTATAATTTGTCTCTTAAAGCCCTCGCCTTCACCATTCCCAAGAAATTGCTATCTTCCTTCCGAGTTCAATTCAGCTCAACAATTAAATTTCCTTTTTCAATTTGTTTCACACACATTTAAAATAATTGAGAGAGAGAAATAGGGCCCGGGATAAGGAAACATGCCCAGAACGTCAATTTAGGCTTGGAAGTATCAATTTCATCAAGAATCTGAAAAGTCTTGTTATTCTCCTAGTATTGTTGCCACTAATGCTCTATTTCGTGGATATGATACGCTCTCCTTGCTTACTAGCATTTTTTTTTCTTCGTCCACCACTAAGCACTTCCAAGTTTATCATTTATTCTCAGATTTATACAATTGGTGAGTTGAGCAGCACGCGAAGTCGTTGAGAACTTCTACTGATGATGAAGAAGAGGTAGGCGACTGTGGGTGGATGAGAAAAATGTAGCTACGCAACGGAGGAGGCAGTTGTGGTGGTGTTGGAAAGAAGTGGAGTTTTATGTTGGTTTGAATTTGGGTTAATATTGTTTGATTGTGCGACGACGAAGTGGTGGAGGTGGACGAAGGAAGAGTGAGTGACGGAGTTATAGTGGAGGATAGAGTGGAATGAACCATCATTATCTCCTTTGGAGCTTTGAATGTAATTACTACGTGATTTATAGTTTTAAAGCTGTTCTAAATCTTTATAGAACTATGCTATATGTACAGTTTTTTTGTACATTCACTTTGACAACCCCCTCACATAGGGTGGGGCCGGCGATTGTGAGCCAAACCCCCATGTGAGGGGGCTGTAAAAAAGGCTGTACATTCAGCATTTTTGTTCTTTATAAATGATTATATTGGCATTCACTATTCATTAGAGATGCACAATGAGCAATTAATGATGGAAATAATCGAAATTTTCATTAAAATTTTAATCTTTAATAGCAATTCGAATGGTTTTTGTCATTAACTACTCCACTTTAATTAATGTTGAAGAGCGAAAGAGCTACTTGTTCTTTACTAACTACTACTCAATTGGAGTAAGATGTGGAGGACTAATCGAGAAATTATCCTTGCAAGATAAGTTCTATTGTCTATGATATCTTTCAATATTTGACATGACTCTTAGATGGATGACATTCGTAATGTGTTTGAAATCGTGACATTTTTACGTTGTAATGTGATGTTAAACCTTTTTTATCGAGAAATTTATTTAAATTCCGTGTAATAATTGTGGGTTATGAAATTGCAGATACGCGATGTTGGGTGGAAGATTACATATCGCAAGAACAATGAAGAGGCAGTGGAAAGCAAGAACGAATTGCTCGAAATGTTGAAGGCGTTGGAAGGAGCATTGGGAGATGAGCCTTATTTTGGAGGGGAAAACTTTGGATATGTTGATATTTCTCTTATTGGATGCTACATGATGTTTTATACCTATGAAACCTATGCCAATTTCAGCATAGAGGCTGAGTGCCCTAAGCTAATTGCATGGGTTAAGAGGTGCTTGGAGAGGAAGAGTGTTTCCAAGTCTCTTGGTGATCCCAAAATTGTCTATGAAATAGCAGTTGAGTGGGGAAAGAGACTTGGTTTAGGGTAGTGAGGATTGTGTTATGTTTGAGAATAAACGCGAAAGCATTTGAAATAGCAGAGAATTTTATGTTGTCATCAACGACATAAATCTTGTGCATATGTTGAATGCGTTTGGACTAGCATCAACAGAAAGCATTGTGTTGTGTTATGTTATGCTCAAGGAGTTAATAGAGTCTGAGTTGTGTCGTGTTGTGTTGTATCTTGAGATGATTTGTAATAAAGAAAGCATTTAGTTGTGTTTCACTCTTACATGAATGTCCTTTTGTTTGCCTTCGAACTTGGATGGTATTGACCTAGAATTAGTAAAGGAGCATCAAATTAGTCATTTAATTTTCAATAATGTATTATTATTTAGCACCGTCTGGTAGAGATTTTTTAGAATATATTTGTGAAAAATGATTTTTTAGGAAAATGCGTGGTTAAAAAGTAGGTAAAAATTATGTGTTCACATGTAAATTTATTTATTGAAAAAATATGTGATTGAATGTGAGTTTGAGGAAAAATAAATTTGAGAAAATGGCCAAACAAGGACATAGAGCTTATGAAATAAAAATATTCTTTTATAAAAAACTGTAAAGTAAATATTAAAGAAATTCATTTTCTTACATAAATAGTATAATAATAAAAAAATTGCAGAATAACATGTTTCTTTTAAAATAATAAATAGCAATAAGACGAAAATTGCAATGGATAATTCTAAACTATACATTTTGTGCAAATAAGTCCCAAATATTTAATTCTCGACAATTAAATCATTAACTTTTCAACAGGACGCGTGTATGTCTAACGCTAATTCTTATAGAAGGTTTCCTTCCTTTTAAAATTTCTCATGATAAATTTTCTTCCTTCAGTCAATTTTTTGATACTCCAAAATTGAACATCCTTATTTTTCAATGAAAAATAGAATAGACATTTGTTATCTTTTAAAATGAAAAATGCTATTTTGACAAAATTGAACGTCCTAACCTTTTGGTTGAGTTGTAAGTTGGTCCCCAATCTATAAAAAAGAGCATGTTAATTCCCAACTCCTTGAAATAGTGGTGCATAACCACTAACCAGTCTCCATAGACAGTTTTTGTCTAATTTTTGTTACAGTGTGATGAAATGACAAATTTTATCCTTGTTTTCAATAACAAAGAAACAAAAGAAATTACTATTTATTTTTGTTCTTCTTTTCTCCATTTTTGTTTTACTTTTTTGTTAAAAGTAATTTTATCTATTTTAGACTAAAATAGTGCATTACATATGGCTTAATAGATTTTTGATTATATTAAGGGGTATGTTTGACAAAGTTTTTGATAAAATTTATGAATTATGCATTTGAAAATTGATAAAAGTTGTGGATCCTATAAAATATGTAGGAAAAAATTTGATCAGTTGAAAAATTGGTAAATTTTATCAAACAAGCACCAAAAAATCTAGATCGACTATCTCCTTTTTTAAGGTTTGAGATCAACATCCTTTCAATTTTCGAGTAAGAAATTCCGATGATCACCATATTTTCAACCTTTGTTTCCCAAGCGGCACTGAATTTCGAAATTTCAAAATTTTTTTCCTTCCGTCACTTAAAAATCGTTTTGAAAATTCAAGATTAATTTCGTTGTCCACAAAAAATAAACCATTAAAGGGCAGTGTTGAAATATACAATACTTCAAGAGTGTCGATCTTTCCTGAAAGACAAGGACACTCAGACCCCTCACCACCCTTCTCTTTAAGTACCCTATTATCCAATTAAAAATCACAAGATAGAGACACATAGATGAAAATTACAAATAACACAGTACAAAATTCATGCAAATTTACATACAAATATATTTTGGAAAAATCTATGTAAATAGGTATGATGATAATGAAGAATGACTTAGAAACACACAAGATTCATGAGGTAGAGATTAACCCAGTTTGGATATGGCTTTGATTTCTCACCTCCAACTACTCATCCTCAATTTTGTCGTCTTCTTCAAATCCATTCTAATAAACTTGTATTTTCCAATTTTCTTTTTTTCTATGGATCCATTTTCTTTCAAGTTTATCTACTAGTCTCTCTGCATGTACTGTTCTTTCAAGTCTTGAATCAGAAGGTCTGCTTTTACTTGTCTCTCTTTTTCCTGCACTTCTTTTCATTCAAAACTTCTATATCTAATGTGGGTTCTTAGCTAAGTTTTGATTCTTGAATTTCACTAGTTTAAGGAAGAATTTAATTCTTAATATGTGGCTCTATGTACTTCATTGTAATGCAATTAATGTTGTTAGGTCTTGCTTGACTCATGTAGTTATTGCCCAAGATTTGGTTGGGTTTTATCTGTGCTCATATCTTAATCCATAAAAATTTAAGAATTATCCAACAGGCTCTGGAAGGAATTCCGGGGGAAGGGCCTTTGAGAATTTAGAAATCCGATACATAGATAGAATAAAAGAAAATTAATGGAATAATTTTGAAAATTGATCATTAGTAAAAAAAACCTGCTCCATCTTTTGAATTGTCCAAACAAGAAACTATGTAAGAGTGGAAGCACCAAAAGAAGAATTGAGAATTTTTCTGATAGGAGATTAGAGCGTTTTTATTTGTAAATGGAAAATTCGCCGGCCGGATGTTTTCAACTTGCAAATATTATGATGATACTAGGTAGTATCGATATTGGTTGATCTTTGAAGTGATAACTAATACATCAGAGTCAAGTGACATGCTTGTTATATCTCTGTACATAACTTTGAGTCGTGTTTCGATTCATTGCTTCTGTAGTACTACAGTGGTGTATTGTGCCATGGAGAAAATTTTGCAGAACCAAAAAGATCTTGAACTAACAAAACATTATCAATGATCTAATTTGTTATGTCATTTGTTTGATCAAGACTTTTGGAGGGGGCGTGTGAAAATCAACAAGAGAGATGGAGATCACTAATGTCACCGAGTATCAGGCAATCGCCAAAGAAAAGTTGCCAAAAATGGCGTATGACTACTATGCATCGGGTGCAGAGGACCAATGGACTCTGGCTGAGAATCGCAATGCTTTCTCAAGAATTCTGTAAGTTGCTAAGTTTTCTTAATGAAGATTTGGTTTACTCACCTTATTGATTTGGCTCTTATGTATTAACTCTCCAATGAAAATAACAGGTTTAGGCCTCGGATTCTTATTGATGTCAGCAAGATTGACATGAGCACCACTGTCTTGGGCTTCAAGATTTCGATGCCTATCATGATCGCCCCAACGGCCATGCAGAAAATGGCTCACCCTGATGGTATGGAGTTTATTTTTCCCCAGAGTTATTACTATTACACTGTTTCAAGTAAATAAACCTCTTGCTTAGTATGGACGGTATTTCCCTTTTAGGATGTGAATATATCCCGTGAAGGAACGATTAGATGTCTGATGGAATAATTTCTGTATTGTGCAGGAGAGTATGCGACAGCTAGAGCTGCCTCAGCAGCTGGAACAATTATGGTTCGATTTCTCTTTATTTCAAGTTCTAAATCTATCTTATAAAGATTTGCTTAGGCATACCTCGCTTCATCTCCTCTTCTTTATTTCCTCAGTCAGTTTCTTTCGTTTGATTTTACGGTTCATAATGTTTTGATGTCAAGAATTCTTCTCTTTACTGATGAATCGCAAATTTATATGTCAGACATTGTCATCATGGGCTACTTCTAGTGTCGAAGAAGTCGCATCAACAGGACCTGGCATTCGGTTTTTCCAGCTTTACGTAAGATTGAAATTGCAACTTACAATTTATGATTGAATAATCTTGCTCTTGAGATGCATATGGGAGTAATGAATCCATTGAATCTTGATCAGGTCTACAAGGACCGAAATGTTGTGGCTCAACTAGTGAGGAGAGCCGAAAGGGCGGGTTTCAAGGCCATAGCACTCACAGTTGATACACCAAGGTTGGGTCGCAGAGAAGCTGATATCAAGAACAGGTGCAAACTTTTATTCAAATTATCATTTATGTGAAAATAAGTGGACAGTATGTTGTGGGTCTTAAGAAATTCGTAGATAAAAAGTATATTTGGCTAAACTTTGCCAAACATGCTATGATGTGGTGTCTCGCTAGTTGATTGAGCCACTTCATCTTTAGATAGTGAACTGTTACAATTGGGAGTTATTTGTCAAGAAAATATCTGATTTTCTCTTGTACAGATTTGTTTTGCCACCATTTTTGACGTTGAAGAATTTTGAGGGTTTGGATCTTGGGAAGATGGATGAGGTAAACGGCAACCATAATGTTAAACTTTTAACATGTCTAGTATATCAGTCATGACATTTACACATTATTTTGATTCGTGTATTGGGTTCAGGCTAATGACTCTGGATTAGCTTCATATGTTGCTGGTCAAATCGATCGTACTCTGAGTTGGAAGGTACAATGCTTTTAAGTTACCTTTAAGCACAACTATACATGCTCTAACTAGAAAAACATAGGTTTAATGTAGATTTATACAATAACTTGGTTGCAAAGCAAACCGTGTTAATGCTTTCTTTGTGAACATGGACAGGATGTGAAGTGGCTCCAGTCGATTACTTCAATGCCGATCCTGGTAAAGGGTGTAATCACTGCAGAGGATAGTAAGAACTAGAGAAGTCCATATCATTTTCTCTTAACTTATTTTTTCTTTCATATTTGATAAAATGGCTTTTTACGTGCAATGAAATACAGCAAGGATTGCTATTCAGAATGGAGCAGCCGGTATTATTGTATCCAATCATGGTGCTCGCCAGCTTGATTACGTCCCTTCCACTATCATGGCTTTGGAAGAGGTAACCTTCTCGTCCATGACTTGTAATAAGACTTCATATAACTAGAAATGCCAAGAAAATCTCATATTCGTAAAGAAACACGTGGATGCATTTTCATGAGTTGATCGTTTTGCCATTCGTGTTATCCCCACTGATCTGATGCAAGTTCAGGTTGTGAAAGCTGCACAAGGCCGAGTTCCAGTATTCTTGGACGGAGGTGTCCGACGTGGAACAGATGTTTTCAAGGCATTGGCACTAGGAGCCTCTGGTATCTTTGTAAGTACAACAACCCGAAAAAGATTTTGGTGAAATTTTATCATCTTTGAACAGCATAATTCAATTTGTTACCTTGCTCTCAGATTGGTCGACCTGTGGTCTTCTCATTGGCTGCTGATGGAGAAGCCGGCGTGAGAAAAGTACTCCAGATGTTGCGTGATGAGTTTGAGCTGACAATGGCATTGAGTGGTTGCCGTAGTATAAAAGAGATAACCCGTGACCACATTCAGACCGAGTGGGACGCTCCTCGCGCTCTTCCAGCTCCCAGATTATAGAAATGTGCATCAAATGTACGACAAGACTTCGAAATCATCAGATTTCATGTCTCCTTCTCATTTTTATTTGAGTCCACGTATATGTTGAACACGATTCTCTTTTGAATACCGATGGAACTATATAATTTCATAAATGGCCCAGAGTTGCCTTCGTTGTATATTCTTTCTTTCAAATATCAATTTCCAAACTCGTGAAAAGTATATGCATGTGTAAATGTGAGTGTGTTTGTGGGGTTGATTCATCTATAGAAATAGTTAGTACTTCAATCAGCCTTTGTCTAGCCCCCATTATTCCACGTTATAAGGAGAAAAATGATAATGTTTTGAAAAATGTGTAGTTAAAAAAGAAGAATTTTTTTTTTGGGTTTAGGTGTTATATTATTTTATTAGAAAATATGTAGTTGATAAAAAGATAGAGAAAAATAAATTGTGCCCCCGTTTGACACCCGTTAATTTCTATTTCTCATTCTCATTCTCGTTCTTCATTTCAATCACACATTCTCCAAATAAAATAATATTACACACAAATCAAAATTTTTTTATCACTTTTCCATCACACATTCTAACATCAATCACTATTCCAAAATTTCTATTCTCCTCAAAATTAGCCCCCGTTTGACACCCATTTTTTTATCTCATTCTCATTCTCATTTTTCTACAGTACTCATTTCTAACCACACATTCTCCAAATAAAATAATATTACACATAAATACAAAAATTCTTCTTACTTTTTAACCACACATTCTTTACATCAATCACTATTCAAAAACTCATTCTTCAAAAGAATGTGTGCCAAACAAGCCCTTAGATTTAAACACAATAATTTAATGAAAAATTATGAGGATCAACTGAGGTGGATCCAGGAATTCATTTGAGTATGGGCGTAAACTTGATGACTACTAGAGAGGCTGCCCATTGTATTCAAAAGAAAATTTTTCGATAGAGCCAACATGGGCGGCCGCTATTGCTTGTCGAGTGCTGACTCGGACACTAGATTCAATCTTAAGACTCTAGCCATGTGGAACACAAAGCATGGGCGCGAGTCCTTGTCTGATGTTGCTGAAACACAAACTTACATCCTTTTTCCAAATTTGAAATGCTTCGTTAAAAGTTGGCACTTGACATATCTCTTTAAAAAAAAAGTTTTTACATTGTCCAACGTTGATGTACAACTTCGTTGATATTTTCATTTTTACCCTTGCTAAACGCATTCAAAAGATGGAATTGCTCTCGTCATAATTTTTCGACGACTGCATTACTGTTATTTTCAGTATTGCATAAAATTTGATGGCAAACACATGGAGAGGATGAATTTGTTTAATTTTATAAAAATTGGAGAAGAAGTTTAATAGACTCGAACATTTATGGTTAAGTATAAAAATAGGGTTATCTACGCCTTTTTCCAAAAAAAAAAAAAAATTTATAAGTTGCTTATAATTTTCAGTCCAAACTTTATTATTGGTGTATATTGTGGATTTCGTTACTAATCGGAATTCTATTATAATCTCTTTATTTTTAATAGTACAGTATATAAGTTGTTTTTAACTTATTTAAAAATTTCAACTTAATCAACGAAACTTACTTATTCACTTATAAGTAGAATTTTAAGTTTAGCAAATCATGCACTAGCCGTTAAAAAAAAAAGGAAAAAGGTGTAGAGCTCTATGCCCAGACATAAACCCTAGTTAGCAACTCACGTTCTGTGCGCCAAAACCCCACCGGCTAGGGTTTTACTCTCACGCGCCGCCGCGACCAGCACTGATGGCTAAGAAACGCGCGAGAATAACAAATCCGGAGCCTTTCTTAGCCGATGACTCCAAGTCATTCTCCGCCGCCTCCTCCTCCAAAAAACGCTCCAAGCCACCCAAGCCCCACCAGCTTGAGGAGAAGCTAGTGCCCTCCGGCATGAGCTCGAAGATTTTGAAGGAAGCCTTGTCTCAGCAGAAGGAAATTCAAGAGGAAGAGGAGAAGAAGAACCCTACTGGTTTGGTATTTTCCGAAGAGCATGGAATTAAAGACAATGATTATGAAGAAGAAGATCTTGATGACTTCGGAGGATTTTCCGAGACGCAGAGTCAATTTGGACAATGGGATTTTGAGGTTTTATCTTAACTTCTTTCTTTCTGTAAATATGATACTTATTCGGAGGGTTAATTGTTCTCCGGCAGGTATTGCTGAAATTGATGTGGAATTTCTGGTTTGTATTGGAGACGATTCTTAGTAAAGAGAAATTTGTTATGCATCGTTGTTAAATTTCTCTTTCGAATGGATGCTGGATAAAATAATTTGTTGAATTTGTTGTTTAAATATGTTTTATATGAAGAGTAAGATAAAGTACCCCTCAATTTGGAAACACAGCTTCATGGAACTGTTTTCGGTTCACTAAGGCTTTCATGTCCTACTTTTGTTTATAATAGTTGCGCCACTTTCGTTGGCAAGAGCCTTTTTAGGTCTGTGCTCAATTCCTTACCACATAAGTGGTCCTTTCATGGACTTTTATTTGCAGAAAATATATTTGTAATGTGTGGAAATATCTGTGGGGTAGTAGCTACGTTAATGATGATTTACTTCTTTCTTTTCAAAATGAATGTTGGAGCTAAATGCCAAGCTTAATTTATTGTTCTACGAAATGTCCCTACGTTCTTTGTAATTGAGCATACTTTATCGAGTTAGTTATTTCTTGCATTTTCGTTTGCTGCTAATGCTTATGATTTTCAAATGTACCATTTTAAATTATGAATATCCAATTTACATGTCCAATTCACACAAGCAATTTTGTCGTGGATGTAGTACAATTTTGGTTCTTTTCCTGGGGTTTGGAAAAGTTGATAGGGGCTCTTGAAGTCTTAAACTTTGCATTGAGAAAAAATATTGACAATCAAGGATGTTCAGTTTGTATGTCTACTTATTATACCACCTTAACTGAGGAGTTTGGGTTTCTTTCTTTTTGACCAATTGATTGAAATTTATGCTCATACTTTGTAGTATGTATTTTCCTCTGGTTACCCTTGAGGATGCTCAATATGAAATGCTACTAGGTTTTCAACAACATAATATTGGGATTTGGCCACTTATTGAGAGGCCAATGACATAAACTGCTGTGGATTTTTTTTTCTCTCTCTTTATGGACCTGCGTTTTGTATCTTTTTTATTCACTTTTTCTTTTCCTTGGTAACAAAATAGGATCAAATTGACGAGGAGGATGAGAAGCTTCTGGAGGCCTTCTTGTCTAAGGACCATCGCCCTCAGCGCACGTTGGCTGACGTTATTCTTGAGAAGATCAAAGAAAAAGATTCCCAAGTTTCTACAGGTATTGTTTAAAGTGTTTTCATATTAAAATTTTTTATGGATCTAATATTAATTTATAATTACTCTCCGATGATGCAACATCTACTCCTAATGGCGCATTATCTTGTAACAATTCAAGATATTCATGTTTTCTCGAAATGTTGCCTGCAAAGAAGGCTTGACAGTTTAGTGATTTGACACTGTTCTGTACTTTACGGTTGTTTATGATGAGCAGAACTATGATATTATTTATAATTTTGATTTTTTTTTAATTGTATTTTAGGGCAGCAGCCTCTACCCAAATTGGATGACTCCATCATAGAGTTGTATAAGGGGTATGTTGGCTATCTTCTGCTTTGTGATTGTGATTTTGCTGGACCTGTCTTTTTTCTTCTGTGTGTAGTTGTCCTTATTTCTAAGGCTACTGATGTTGGGTGGCGATGACAAATACAGAGTTGGCAAGCTACTTAACAAATACACTTTTGGCAAGATGCCGAAAGCTTTCAAACACATATCTTCTCTACAACTCTGGGAGGAAGTCTTGTACCTGACTGAACCTGAGAAATGGTCTGCAAACGCAATGTATCAAGCCACAAGAATATTTGCTTCTAATTTGGGTGTCAAGAAGGTTGAACGCTTCTACAAACTTGTCTTACTACCACGTGTCAGAGAAGACATCCGGAAGAATAAGAGGCTGCATTTTGCCTTGTATCAATCTTTGAAAAAGGCTCTGTACAAACCAGCTGCCTTCAATAAGGGAATTTTATTTCCTTTGTGTGAGGTATAATACATTTTATTGAAACATATTTAGAAGAAAACTTCTGGTGTAGATACCAAACTCTTTAGATCCCAAACTTGCTCTGCATCTCCTAACTTACGTTGGTTCGTCCAATATTTGTGATAAGTTCCTCTTACAGGAAGGTATTTTAGATCGATTTGTTGCTTGGAATACATCATATTTTGCAGCAAGAACTAGTGCCCTGAGTATTTTAGATCTTCCACTTTAAGTGATACTGTTTGGTGGCTCCTGATGTAAGTTATGCTGATTTTCTGCAGCATTTAGGAAGGAAAGCTTGTGCAAGTTAGGGTGTCTTGCACTGGTATATTTGAACTAGTTCATTGGTCTGCATCATTGTGTTGGGATTATCTTCTTGAGTCTGCTTGGACTTGCATCAGTACTTTCTATACAAGAAATAAATGCAAATTTCTGATCGACAACGTGATTAGAAATCATGACTAATGACTTTGAAATCTTTTTCAAGTTTCTATGGTTCCATCATTATTATGGCAAATGCGAGGAGTTTATATTTAGTGTCAAAATAAATTCTATTTCAAATACATTGCTTACTTCTTTTATTCTATTCCACAATTTGAATCTTACTACATTTCTGATGGTCACATATTTTTTCCTCTGTTAAAGTCAAGAACTTGCAATTTGAGGGAGGCTGTCATTATTGGGAGCATTATTCAGAAGGTTTCCATTCCTCCTCTTCATTCCAGGTATCATGTTTTTACTACTAAGCCAATGTACAGACCAGCCTAGGAGAAAGTGTAAACGCTATATACTTTTGTAGATACGTTTCTGCTGTTTCCTGTGTAAAGGACTGCCCTGCACTCCTGTCACCAAGAGCTAAGGGGCTTCAGAGTATAATCCAAGACATTCCACGTTAAGAGAAAAGATTCTACAAATTTCTATGTTATTTGCTGTACAAAAACATTTCTGCTGTTTCCTGTGGTCTTTTTGCCCCCCTACAGTTCTCTGTACGAAATGTATAAATACGAAGACCTCTCTCTATATAGGAAAAAAGAAACCATTGACCACTTAAGATTCTCTAAGAGGTGGCCTTTCCTGGGAAATGTGCAACTTACCTTCATTCTCCTGCTATCAAGGAGAACAGCTTCCTTAATATGGGTTTAGAATAACGATTCCACTTCCAATCTCCCTCTATTGGATTGTCATAATCTAATTTTGGTCTTAAAAAATAAATCATGTTGCAAGTTAATTATTTGTTCTCTACCTTTCCCTGCAATAATCCTAGTGTGGTTTTCAGTTGTAGGAGTTTGCCTTGTCAGATATCCACTAGACATTTTCAGTCCAAGATTGTTTATTAGCATGCTTTGCTTTAATTGTTCTCTGCCTTGTAAACTTCGTTGCGATTACTCTTAACTTGCCTGGAAATCTGTAGATCGCTAATGCGCAACTCTCATTCAAAATTGAGGTGCAAAAATTTGTCTCATGAAGCATCATTTTGATCCTTATTTGAGACTTCAGTAACTGCTTAATCTTTTAGCAAGCGGCATTATTTTTGAATCTTTTTGCGTATGGAGTAACATTTATGAATTTAGCTAGCTTGAGATATCTCAAATAATTTCTAATGGGCATGCAGTGTTGCCCTACTGAAGCTTGCAGAGATGGAGTATTATGGCACTACAAGGTATACATGTTTTCCACATCTCACACTTGATTTTCTTCTCTCCACTCTGTTAAAACATCTTAACTTTCAGCTGAGAATAATGTACAATTACTTAGTTGTCTCACTGACTCATCAAATTTACGCAGTTGTGTTAGGACTGTTAGTTCTTCAGATGATGGTTTCTAGTTAAGATTGCTGATGTAAATGTGCGTGAAAAATTGAATTTAGAAAATAATCATTATAACATGGTTGGTGCTTTTTTATTTTCCCTCTCTACTCACCTCCTCCTGGAGATATTTATTAATGCCTCCTCATGTATTGTGTTGCAGTTATTTTATAAAGTTACTGATTGAGAAGAAATATGCATTACCATATCGTGTATTGGATGCCCTGGTTACTCATTTTATGAGATTCTACGAGGACTCCAGAATAATGCCTGTGATCTGGCATCAGTCACTTCTTGCATTTGCCCAAAGGTTAGTTTTCCTTGTCGTCATTAATTTCTTTTTATTTCTAGTCGATTCTCTGTGCTGTTTTTGGATGTTGACACGCATGATTGATCTTTATTCCGTCAGTGAGATTATATGTGAGATCGTTGATTGTGTACGCTATCTCCTGTTGCCTGACTTCATAAATTTTGTGCAGGTACAAAAACGAGTTGACAAAGGAGGATAAAGCTAATCTCAACACCCTAGTCGAAAGGCAAAGACATAAATTAGTAAGTCAATCAGCCCAATTATGGTTACCTACTGTTTCAGTTTGATGGGTACTTATGATCTTATAAATTGGTATTTCTTGTTTCAAATGCAGGTTACTCCTGAAATATTACGGGAATTAAATAACAGCCGCAACCGTGGAGAGAAGGATGATGACCTTATGTCGATGTATATCCTTTTCTTCCTTTGATGTGCAAGTTACATTTTTTATTGCTTTATCTATTTAAACATGATTTTATTAGTTCCCCTTTCTACCCCCCAGTGTGATAGCTACTTTCGTTTTTACACGGATATACGTACCTGACAATTAGTTTTATAAATGTTTTGACTGATGGTTTGTTCTTTCACACATGAAGGGAAAGCTCATAAACTGCAATGTGGTCAACTGCATGATTGTGAGAGATAATGTACATGTTTTGCAATACTTAAAATATAATTTAAGCTGGTCAAACATTTTCTCCGCACATTTTGTAGGATCTACAACTATTACTCACGTATTATAACATTCAGTAGGACTGCACAACTTATAATAACTTGAAATTTCATTTGAGCGTCTCAAACATGCTCAATAACAATTTTCATGGTGTGTATCCAATTTCTCCTATCATGTAGATATTGTGGTTTATACAAACACAACAATGAGCGCTCCGCAGGGAAAGTTCACCGTATTTCACATTGATCTCCAATTTACTTGTTTTTTGTAAAGATTTTAGTTATATCCACTTGCTCCCTCTGTTTAAACTTGTTTCCTTGACTCCCTAGTACCGATTCCAATTTCTGTGGTTAACAAAACAATACAAGAAGATAGGTTTGACATCCCGGATGTACCTATGGAGGAAGACTAAATATTTGTTGCAGCAGCTGTTTCATGGGTAAAAAATCCTTTCCTTTTCAAATTAAACTCATCCAGTGTGATGAAGTCACACTGCCATAAATCTTGTTTATTTGTTTTATCTAAGGCTTGACGTTGGCATTTGAGCTCCCAATGCAGGTATCATGTAGTACTTTTGTGAAAATGACTTATTGGTGCCCAAGATGCATTAAGCGTATTTAGCTGCTGTATTGGACCTGTGAGGAGCTTCCTAATATAGTCATGGGTTGATGATTTTGAAATTATGCCTGGAGCATTCTTTGTATTGAGGCCATTTATATTTCCTGTGTGGAAACATCTTTTGTTGGTTCTAGGTTATTGAAGTTTAGGCTGTCATAGTGTTCAATTTGTGAAGATACAAAGATTTTTAGTTCCAAGTATTCTGAAGTCAGTTTCCTTATTTTTGAAATTTTGTAATAGAAATTTTTATAATATACTTAGTCTTAGTCTTTTCTTGTTTAAACATATCATGATTATTTTCGTTTCACTGTAGAATGATTACTTGATCTTTTGTTGGCCTTCGTAGCATAATCCAAAACTGCCTTTTTAGGAAGTACATGAGGTAGAAGCCAAGGGAATAATGTTATTCAGCACTAATTGTTCTAGAATGTCAGTTTAAGTGGTTACTCTTGATGGATTAAATTAAAATGAATCATTGACCTTGCATTTAAATGAATTTATTTTTTAATGTCATATAGTTGCTATTTATATCAGTGCTCACCATTAATGATGTTGAATAACATTATTCAAATATGTGACTAACAATTTGTTTATTTTAAGTCGCCGGAGTAGTAGTGTTCTATGCTTACGAGTACCTTGAAACATGAACCTTGATTGTTGTAGGGGAATAGGGGTAGGTTGTTGGACGGAGTGGAGGTTTTTTGTTTTTCAATTTTTAAATGTATTTTTTTCTTTTTTAATTAATTTAATGAAAATACATGTCCGTTTATTAAAAAATTCTTTTAAGTGTTCATATGGTGGGACTTTTGAAATATCAAAAATTGTTTTTCAGATTAAAATTATTTTTTAACATGTTTGAATGATTTTGTAAAAGTATTTTGTTTGATTAGAACAACTTTTAGAGAAAGTTGACTTTAAGGTAATTTTTCAGATAGCTCTTTTGAAAAGAAAAACAGAAGCATAGTTGAAAGTATGATCTTGGTAGATATAAAAGTAGTGAAATGATATAATTACGGTAATTAGCACATAACATTCTCACATTTCACTGTTATTGTGAAAAAATTTCATATCTTTCATTTTTTTTGGTACTTTCACCATTATTTTCACATTTCATTGCGCAAAAAGTCATTTTCATATATTTTTTCAATTAAAATTTGTAAAATAACGAATATGCCATTCTCTTTAAATAAAACAAAAGGAAAAAGAAAAAAATTAATTGTAATCATAATCCCATTTTTTTTTTTCAAAAAAGCGCAAATGAGTCTCAAATAAAGTATTAAAAGAGTAATTAGCACATAATATCCATATATTTCACTATTATTGCAAAACAAGTTCATGCCTTTTATTTTTTTGATATTTTCACTAATTACACATTTGATTACGCAAACCATCATTTCTATCCATTTTCATACAATTTCACAATAAAAAGCTATGAAATGACGAATATACCCTCATATTTAAATAAAAAAACAAAACAATTAATTGCAACCGTAGTCCCAATTTTTTTAAATTTGCAAATGAGTCCCCAATAAATTATTAAAAATTTTTAATTTTTTAAAAAAGTTCAAACGAGCCCAATTAAATTTATTTAAAAATTTTTAAATAAATAAAAATAAAAAGTGCAAACGAGTCCCAAATAAATTATTAAAGAATTAGAAATTACAAAGAAATTATTTTTTTTATTTAAATAGGAGGATACGTTTATTATTTTACAGTTCTTTATTGAAAAATTGGATGAAAATGATTGTTTGCGCAATCAAATGTGTAATTAAAGGTGAATGACAAAAAAAATGAAAGATATGAACGTTTTTCGCAATAAAGGTGAAAGGTAGGGACATTATATACTAATTACTATTTTAATAATTTATTTGTGACTCATTTGCGCTTTAAAAAAAATTTGGACTATAGTTACAATTAGTTTTTTTCTTTTTCTTAAAGATATATTCGTCATTTCATAATTTTTAAATGAGAAATAAATGAAAATAATATTTTGCGCAATGCAATGTGGAAATAAGGGTGAAAATGTCAAAAAATAAAATATATGGATGTTTTCCACAATAACAATAAAAGATGAGGACGTTATGTGCTAATTACCCTATAAATTATTGGAATTTGTATAGATGTCCGTACATTATCAATTGTCAAAAAAATGGTCACTTTCTTAAAAGGTGTTAAAAAATATCATATTTTGGGGGTAAAATATCCACAATACCCTTGTTATTACCTTTTTTTTGGTGTATTTAATGTTAATTAATGCATAGTTAATGCCTTGATTTGATAGTTGACATTTGTAAGAAAATTCTATGTGTAATTGTAATATACATTATGTAATAGATTTGTTAACCATAAAAAATAAATATATAAATAAAATTATTTCATAAACATTTTACCATGTTGATGAGGGATTATTTATCTCAAAAAAATACTTTTTTTTTTTTTAATATTTTCCATTGTATTCATCTTCAAGTTTGAGAGGTTAGAATTTATAGTGTTTAATATTTTTGTCTTGTAATTTACAATTATGGAATTGTTAAATATATCATATTCATATTTATTTGCAAATTTTTATTCATTAATTTGGATTATTTTTGCAAATTTTTTAGAATGACAATATCCTCCATAATATATTGTTGAGAATTCCCTGTTTAATGAAACATTGTGTAAGTTGTTTGTGAAAATTTTGTCAATTTATAGTTGGGTATTGATGAACACACTTAATACTATGAAGATTGTAGTCTAATCATACCCATTAATTGATTCTCGTCAATTGCCAACCGTTTAGTTCGACGATTCGATTGTCGAACTATACTGTGAAGACCGATAGTTAAAATGTCGATTTCGACAATTCATAAATCCTGGAAAGACAATTTGAACTGTTGAACTATACTGTGAAGACCAACAGTTAAAATGTCGATCTCAACAGTTCGTAAATGTCAGGAAAGACAATTCAATTATCGATCTCACCAGTTTACTACTGTTTTCTAATATCTATTTGTAGTTGCCACTTGCATACTATTAAAGTTCAATATAATAATGTACCGAATGCTTATAATTGATATATGAAATTTTCAAGTAAGAGTAGTAATCTCAGATTCATCATCTTGCATGTTGAATAATTTGTCCACGTAGATGATGAATAGAGGTGGCGAGGAAACAAGACCAATTCAATTGTAGTTCCAAGTAATATCACCATATTAGGACTTATCGGATGATTGATGGAGAAACTTCATAGTCACGATCCATGCACTAAAATTATATTGCAGTTCCTTGATCATTTCGTCCAAAAAGTGATAATAGTCCCGAACATGAATATATCTCCAACCGAAATACGCGAATATGAAGACTCGGATGGGTACATATCCGTTCATAAGGAAATATTCCTTTGTGTTAGTTTTTCGAAAACTGAGAATCCAACATTTAACACGACGACATATGCTGGCTTCCAAGCACCTTCGTTTGTAGTGGAGATAAGATTATGGGAACTTAAAATGTCGTCGGGTCGAAGACATGCATAACGTGACAACCAATAATGTTCTTGAAACTGTATTGTATAATAACGAGATGACACCCTTACATGAGAAAAACAACTCGATCTCTGGTTCAGGGGCTGGAAATATTGTCTACAGTGATGAGCAACTGTCACCACATTCCACGGCATTGGAATGATACAAAGGAGTTAAAAGGGTGGATACGTCCTACATTGCTACATGCCAAATTTCCTTTTACAAGAAAGGGTTGTACACGAAGTTTCAAGTATTTACGTTGACAGATAAGTTCCAATTTGGGGTCATCAGTCGAGTTTCAAAAAGTTGAATGTTGTTTGCACAGATACTAATTGTCATTGGATGTTGCATGCGTCGACAGTGAAACAGTCTGCAATCTTTAAGATTCAAAAATTTAATGATGCGCACACATGTTCTATCAACTTTCAGCGTAGCGCACATTAACACACAACAAGTTTTGTAGTGACTGAACACATTATGGGAAGACGAGACGATCCAAACTGCCAATATGATTCGACACAAATTATACGTGGCGTGGAACGTGAGCTAGGTGTCAAAATCAGTTATAGCAAAGTACGTAGGGAGAAGATAGATGTTTTGAAGATGCTACATGGTAAGACGATGGATAGTTTCCAAAAATTGTTTTTATACTATCACATTCTTGGAAAGATAAATTCGGGAACAATGACACACATCTAACTTGATTCCCACAACATGTTTCATTATTTCTTCCTTGCATTTGGTGCCAGCGTGCATGGTTATTTGCAATAACTAAGGCATGTTATTTGTATGGACAATAAAACTTGAAATGTCCAAACAAAGGTACTCTTTTATTGGCAAGAGGGCAGGATGCAAACAAACAAATATATCCAATAGCTTGGGATGCCGAAACAAATAAATTGTGGATGTGGTATTTGTCCAAGTTGAAAGATCTTATAGGTGACTCCAACGAACTCATCTTTGTTTCCGATAGAAAGAAGAGAATTAAGAAAGACATCTCTCACTATTTCCTCTATTTCATCATGGTTGTTGTATGTGTCATATGGAGGAGAACCTCATACAATGATACAATAGCACAAGTTCAGTATTCCTCTTCAAAAGAGTTGTTACAACATATCGTGTTAAAGAGTTCAAATGACTAATGAGACAGATTAGTACAGTAAGTACTCGATATGCTTCGTATTTGGAGAGAGCCGGTTTCGCCTATAGGTCAAGAGCACATTTCGTTGAAGACCGGTTCAACATTATGGCAAATAACATGCACGTTGCTTACCGATCACATGTTTGGTCA